AAAAAAAGAAATTAAATGTGAATGTTAAGGGAAAGAGTAACATCAGAGTAGTAAATCAAGCCAATCAAAAGGGAAATAATAACTACAGCTGTAAGTGTGAGATTAAATGAGTTTACTTTGAAGTTGAAAGCTAGAAAACAAGGCATTTTAAGACCTTTTAAAGAGGAGACTTCTAAAAGGTGAGGCATAGCCTCAGATAAGGAAAAAAATAGAAAAGTGTGGTATTCATAACAGAAGAATGTTTTCCCAGGTGCTGCTGGCTTCCTCCTGTAATCCTAAATGCTCACCAAAAAAGCCAAAAGTGGAACTGTGGCTCAAGGGTAGAGTACCAGCTTTGAGTATAAAAGCTACATGACAATGCCTAGGCCCTGAGTTCAAGTCCAGAACTGGCACGCGCGCGCGCACACACACACACACAAATAATAAAACCACTAAAAAAAAATTAAGTGTTTGAGGGAAGGAAAGTGGAGCTGTGTCCATGCTGTTGAGAAGTTAAACAGGATGATGATAAACTGTGGCCAATTTGGCAATAAGGGAGCCATTGATAACTTTTAAGAAACGGGACAGAATGAAAATGTCTGTGGATGAATTAGCAGATGAGGTACAAGAAGTAGATGTGTAAAAAAAGAAATGAAAGCACAATGTGCAACATGGATAGAGGGATATTTGTCGTAGGAGTTCAGGTAAGGTTTTTTGAAGAAGATGACCACTGCCCTGAATCTAAAAGAACGGACTTAGGGTAGAAGAAGAGAAAATAACCCAAATGTAAAGTCACAGGCAGCAGTTTAGGTGGCCAGAGATAGTGATAAATTGAGCTGAAGAAGTAAGTAGACATGAACCTTATCTCTATCCAGAATCTTTTTTTTTTTTTTTAGTCATGGGGATTGAACTCTAGGCCTGGGTGCTGTCCCTCAGCTCTTCAGTTCAAGGCAAATACTCTACCACTTGAGCCACAGTACCACTTCTGGCTTTTTCTGTTTATGTGCTGCTAAGGAATCGAACCCAGGGCCTCATGCATATGAGGCAAGCACTCTACCACTGAGCCACCTTCTCAGCCCCAGAATTTTGCCTACCAAAATCACATAGTCATTATTTAGAAGTAACTATACATAGGAGACTGTGTACCTTATAGTAGTTATTTCATTTAGTCTCCAAGGTATCTTGCAAGTTTAATTTTTATCAAATTAAGAGTAATTAATTTGCACCAGCTGTCAAGGGAGGATATGGAGGATTCAAGATTTCAACTGAGGTTGACCTACCTCTAGAGCATGCTCTTAATTTTCCCACTGTTCTTCCACGTTTCAGAAACTGTAGCCTTAATTACCAACAAAACATACTAGAATTTATATAACACTTAGATTTCCTTTTTTTTTCTTGAAAAAACAAATCTAATAGATGCATACTGGAGAAATATGCAAAAGAGGAAGGAAGTAGGCAGTGTGGCTAGGTTTCTATTATTATTCCATACAGGATAGGATAAGGACCTAAAAGGGCAATGCTAGGAAGAGGGATGAAGTGAAGAGCCAGAACTTGGTGGGTGATCAGTTGTGGCAGGAGAGTGAAAGAGGAGGAGTTGGGGATAGGTTTTAGGTTTATTGCAAGATGGAATGGATGGTGGTATGTATTAATGAATTGAGAATATCAGAGAAAAGGAACAGGGAAAAATTAAACTTCACATAAAATTTGAAGTACTTTTGGGATATAAGTGGAGAAAGGGTTGTTCACAGTGTAAATCAGAAAAATGGCATATAGATGATAAAGTTTTTCAAGAAGTTCATCTTTTAAATATCTTTTTTCCATCCTCACAGCTAAATACAATCAATGTATCTTTTATAAGGTAATTACAGCAAGTCTTCCAGGTCTCTTTAGATCCCAAATTTTGTTCCCCCTTGCCTTCTGCAAGTTGCTTATTTCTTCTTTTAGTCACCCTTGAGGCCTCTTGCGATTACAGGGCAATAACTATTCTTCAGCATGTTGTGAAAAACCATCCATTGTCTAACCCCAGTTTTCTTTCCCAACTTCATTCCTTAGCATCTTCCCAGATGTAAATTATGTTCCCAGCAGCCCAGACTTGTTAATATCTCACCTATGTGCCTGTAACTCACACATAGCCTCTGTAAGTTTCCCATGTCCTGGAGCTAGAGTTAGTTGTTCACTCTGTTTTTCCCAGTACCTGATTGGCTTCTGTATGATGTGTATTCCCCAACTAGACTAGGATCTATTTGCATACAGATTGAACTCTTTTTCATCTTTATTATTTATGTATTTATTTTCTTTTTGGCCAGTCCTGGGGCTTAAAAAAGAGCCTGGGCACTGTCCCTGAGCTTCTTTTGCTCAAGGCTAGTGCTTGAGCCACAGCACCACTTCCAGATTTTTCTGTGTATGTGGTACTGAGAAAACGAACCCACAGCTTCCTGCATGCTAGCTAGGCAAGCACTCTACCACTGAACCACATCTCCAGCCCTCTTTTTCATCTTTATATGCTCATGTTCAGCTTTTTGTGATACTAAGAATTTAGGAATTACATGTGGGAATTTAGTGAAGCAAGAACTACAGGAAGCCTGTACCTTAAGTGGCTCTTCTACCATTGTGTACAGGGTGCAGCTAAAATCTTCCCCTTTGGCTCATCTTTATACATGTGACTTGAATTAATCATCATTGTTACAGGATTGATCACCTACTAAGTACCTGGCACTTCTCTAAACAAATTGCATGAAGTAATTTATTCCTTATAACAATCAAATGAAGGAAGTAGACACAGAGGTCAAGTCATTTACCCAAGATCACATTAAGTAGAAGAACTCAAATACAATCACTGGTATCAAATTGTCAATGCTATTAAAAACCAATGTGGACCTGATTTAAGCATTTTACAATGTGTATGTATATGTGTCAGTTACAAATTTAGAATAAATTAATAAATAAAATAAAAGACCAACAATAATTTCCTGCTATTTAAGTTCCCTGAGGTACTTCTCAGGTTTAAGCTTGTTTTCTGTGTTATCTTTTTTTTTTTTGTCTTATTTTTTCCAACACTCACTATTCCTAACCCCTTTCTTCTCCCTTCCACCAAGACTGACGCAGTGAGTATAGTCTTTCTGATTACAAAGGCAGCTATATTATGGGCTCTTTTAAATTTTTTAGGGTTATTGGTTTTGAAGTTTTTGTTTGTCTCACTTACACATTCTATTTTAGATTGCTTTTTAGTGGCTTCACCAGGGAAATGGCATATTTAATAATAAATATAACAAAAGTTGTGAACTATGAGACTTCACTCTAAGTTTCCTTCCTAACCCTAATTCTGAGTTTCATACTAAATGGTAACTAAAATGTCTTTACCCTTAAAGGCAACCCTCAGCAGGCCTTCCTGTTTCCAAAGACCCAGTCTGTCAAGATTTGACTGATTCCTTCCCACAATAGCCTAACCTTACTTTTCTGGTATGAAAATAGAACAGAGCAAGGTAGAAGCTAAGAGGAATGTATGAGACCTGCAGTGTCTGCTTGGAGTTTCATCTTAATCTGCATTTTGAAAGGTTTCCAAGCCTCTTGGCTTCAGAACAATGCTTCATATCACTTAAAATTCCTTATAATCAGTCATCTGTGTGGTTTTCATAGGTGTTACAGAATAATACTGAAACATTTAATTTTGTCTTTTAGGCCTTAGAAAATTTGCGAGTTTACCTATGTGAGAAAATCATAGCTGAGAGACATTTTGATCACCTACGTGCAAAAAAAATCCTCAGTAGAGAAGACACAGAAGAAATTTCTTGCCGCACATCAAGTAGAAAAAGAGCTGGAAAACTGTTAGACTACTTACAGGAAAACCCCAAAGGACTAGACACCCTTGTTGAATCTATTCGACGGGAAAAAACACAGAACTTCCTGATACAGAAGATTACGGATGAAGTATTGAGGCTCAGAAATATAAAACTAGAATATCTCAAAGGTAAGTACATCAGGTATTGAAGAGTTCATGTAGCAGTGCTTTAAAAAACTACAAAAGCATGGGGCTGGGAAGGTGGCTCAGTGGTAGAGAGCTTGCCTTCCATGCCTGAGGCCCTGGGTTCGATTCCCCAGCACCACATAAATAAAAAGAAAAAAGCCGGAAGTGGTGCTGTGGCTCAAGTGGTAGAGCGCTAGCCTTGAGCTCAAGAGCTGAGTGAGGGACAGCACCCAGGCCCAGAGTTCAGGCCCCACGACCAGACCCCCCCCCCAAAAAAAAGAAATTAAATGTGAATGTTAAGGGAAAGAGTAACATCAGAGTAGTAAATCAAGCCAATCAAAAGGGAAATAATAACTACAGCTGTAAGTGTGAGATTAAATGAGTTTACTTTGAAGTTGAAAGCTAGAAAACAAGGCATTTTAAGACCTTTTAAAGAGGAGACTTCTAAAAGGTGAGGCATAGCCTCAGATAAGGAAAAAAATAGAAAAGTGTGGTATTCATAACAGAAGAATGTTTTCCCAGGTGCTGCTGGCTTCCTCCTGTAATCCTAAATGCTCACCAAAAAAGCCAAAAGTGGAACTGTGGCTCAAGGGTAGAGTACCAGCTTTGAGTATAAAAGCTACATGACAATGCCTAGGCCCTGAGTTCAAGTCCAGAACTGGCACGCGCGCGCGCACACACACACACACAAATAATAAAACCACTAAAAAAAAATTAAGTGTTTGAGGGAAGGAAAGTGGAGCTGTGTCCATGCTGTTGAGAAGTTAAACAGGATGATGATAAACTGTGGCCAATTTGGCAATAAGGGAGCCATTGATAACTTTTAAGAAACGGGACAGAATGAAAATGTCTGTGGATGAATTAGCAGATGAGGTACAAGAAGTAGATGTGTAAAAAAAGAAATGAAAGCACAATGTGCAACATGGATAGAGGGATATTTGTCGTAGGAGTTCAGGTAAGGTTTTTTGAAGAAGATGACCACTGCCCTGAATCTAAAAGAACGGACTTAGGGTAGAAGAAGAGAAAATAACCCAAATGTAAAGTCACAGGCAGCAGTTTAGGTGGCCAGAGATAGTGATAAATTGAGCTGAAGAAGTAAGTAGACATGAACCTTATCTCTATCCAGAATCTTTTTTTTTTTTTT